ATTTTTACTGTCCTCAAGGAGATCACTGATTAGTGGAAAAACCACACACAGAAGCAAGCAATTTCAGTACAGAGTGACAAGAAACGGGGGAAAAACAAGAAGCTGTGAGGACACAGAGGAGGGGGCTGATATAGCTAGGAGAGAAAGAGGGATGGTCAAAAATGTTGTATTGGAGCTGTCTTTTAAAGGAAAAATAGGAGTTCTCCAGGAAAACCAGGGGAATAGAAACATGCTAGGCAGAAAGAACATTATTTCAAACATGAGGAAGCAAATGAGGACATAGTGGGAGTTGGGGAACTGTCTGTACCTTGATACGGACACACCCCTGATGTGGATGAGGCTGAGAAGAGGGAAGGAGGGGATCAGAAGAGTTTGGGAGGTGAGCAGAAACTTGTTGCTTGTGCTTTGGAACTTGCTAGGTCTTGTTCTAAAGGCTAAGGGATGAAGGAGCTAATTCCATTAAAGTTCATTCTGGCTGTCATATGGACTTACCAACTGGAATGAAGTGAGATGTACTAGGAGTAAAGCTTTAGACAAAAAAAATTAGTTTGAGAACTTTCACTGTCATCCAGGCAGAGACAATGTGGAGCTAGGTACGTTAAAGGCCACAGGAATGACTTAAATAATGCTCCCTCCAGAGCTGAGAATAAAACGAGGATAGTGAGATGCTTAGGATGCAAAATTAAGGTGGCAGTGACTCTTGGGATCTTAAGTGCTCATTTAAATTCTGTGCTCTAGACACCTCTATGGGCTCACTGCTCAGTACATGAACAATCAGATGTTATTGGCAGTGTAGCAGAAAAGAAATTAAATATTTTCTTCACTCATTTGTCCCTGTCTTCAGTTTAGCTGGAAGCAGGACCAGGCACCAAGTCCCTGAGGTCATTCCCTTCGGACTCTCCAGGAGCAATAAGTGTTCCTGTGCTCATTCTGTGCAGAGGGGAGTCTCCCTTCTGTGGTTAAGGGCATGGATGCAGGTGAGTGAACTAGGCTGCACATATAGCAGGGGGAACATTTCCAGGGAACTTAGACACACAGACATGTAGCAGCTACTGTAAACGCGCAGACTGCAAAAGGCGTTCCTGTGTCTGTGGACTGGCCACGTGGTCAGGAGGTATAGTGTACTTTTTTGATTACCCTTTCCCATGTTTCTCATTCTCTGGATCTACATGCCTGGTCCCCCTGCAGTAAATTTTTCCCACCTCTAAGCTCAGCCTTCTTGTACTCTTTCCCAGGAATAATGTTCACTCCTGTACCTTGCTCCCTGAGCCTTCCTCAGTGATATTTTGCAGCTGTGATGATCTCATTCTAGTTTTCTACTCACAAAAACATATATGAGGTGAACGTCAGCAATCTGGGGCCTCTAAATAAAATAGGCTTTTAATAGGGGCTATTTTAAGAGAGTGCTCTAATCTTTAACTCCAGGTAGAATTCCAGATCTGAGGATGTGCCTAGGTGGGTGGTCTGGGAAAAGGGAGCTCTGGATAGGTCAGGGAAGTTAAGGATGCTATGAGTGCTTCTCAAATCTTATCTCTATGGGTGGTTAAATCCAGACTTTGAAGTTACCCATTAAGTCTGAGCTGACGCATATAGTTTCTTCTATTTAAAAGCTTGAGACACCACATTAGAGATGGGGTTTTTTGCCCAGCAAGTTTAAAAAAAAAAAAAAAATGCCCCAGTTTTAACTTTAAGTAATGTTAGGAAGATGTCTTAATAAGACGTAAAGAGCAAGTAAATATTGTTCCATACATGCCTCTATTCTTTGGTAAATGTAACTCTCTTTCTTTGCCATGCCAATTTATGGCACCAACAAAAATTTCAAGTGCGAGTAATCAATACTACACTTCTCAGAGGGCAACTCCAAATGCTACATGAACCTGGAGCTAGAACAACAGAAAATTAGATTACTTCGGATTAGAGAGACTATTGGGTAAATTCCTTTAAGGGTTGATGACATGAATTAAATAACTTCTCATGAAAGTCCAAACTTTTAGCACTCAATTTAATAATGGAACAAACTTCATCAAATTATTATCATATATTTGACAACAGTAAAATATTTTTCCAAATGATAGAAAAATTAAAATTATCAGATAAAATAAAATCATTCATTAGTTCAATACCCAGGTATAATAGTTATATTTCTATGTTTTATATACCAGGCATCGTACCTATGGAAATATGTCTATACATCATTGTTATTCATTCAACAATGACACCAAGCATAAGCATTTTTGTAACCTCTTTTTTATTTAATAATAAATGGTAAATTTTAAATAGCATTTATTTCTGTAGGCCGTTCTTTCCTGGTACTGAATAAAAAGATTGATTTTTTTGTTAATGAGAAAATTAATTTCCTTTTTAGTGAAGATTATTAATTTTCAGGCTATTTCAAAGGTTGGAATTTTTATTTCTATCTTCTTTAAAGAGTGTAGTTTATTTCATTATAAGTTCCTTTTTCAGTGATGAAACCATTTAGCATGAGGTAGGAGGGTTTCACAAAAGTACCTGGGAGGGGAGGTTTGAGGAGATCAACTGTACTGTGTTCCCTGAGGGGCAAAATTTCTTTGCTTACTACTTTTATTCAAATTCAGTCCTGACACATACACAATAAAACTTTAAGAAGTTAAAAACCTATTTTGGTCATCAGCTTATAGCTCCAGAGACATGGATACATGGAACAGGCTTACAGATCTCAGAGGGGAGAGGGTGGGGGGGAGAACAAAAAGAGCTTAACCAAAGAACGTATATGCATATATGCATAGTCCATGGACACAGACAATAGTGTGATGAAGGCCTGGGGTGGGGTGGGGTG